TCTTTATAAAAAAAATTAAACACCCATGTATACTAAATTTTGCACATACATGAACGGATATTATTGAATTGTTTTATGCATCATATAATTATCATTTGTCATTTCTTACGACCCCCATGGAAAGATATGGGTTAGTAGACATCCACACGATTTAAAACCTTTATATTATTGAGATCTTAACTGATTTAAATAATAAAATATCTTTAAATCTAAAAATTACATGTCACATTATCTCTCCGCGATGTACTCCAAAACCATTCAACCGATTTTAATCAAAAATTGTAAATGTGTATAGCTTGCTCCAACTTGAGAGATAGGATAGTTGTTATCCTGATAAGTGACGACGATTTTAAAGATTTTTTACAGGACAAAGGGTCGTCGGAAAATGCAGAACAAAGTCTGCCTGGTCAGCTATTAAAATATAATCCGGATATCCATGTTCTGATATTTGATAATATCATTATAATATTGGAAATATTACATCGTTCATTTTAAATAATTTATAAAAAAATTACATTCTGTAATAAATGAACTTGTAAGACTGACATGTGTACTTAAGACGGCGTAGCCAAGATAGGGGCATGTGTTCAAAGTAATAGATTACAGTTTCACTCCGTGCGACCGTTGTCAAAGAACAGCTGGGAACAAGTCACCATCCTCGAGATGAAAATAATTTTAATCTATACTTCATCAAGCTTATTCTTATAACAATATTTTTATCGTTAATATAAAAATGAAAAATAATAAAATGTTTATAATATTTATCAATGATTAATCAATGTTTATTTATTGTAAATTAAAAATGTAAATTAAAAAAATTATGTATATTCTGAACGACTTGGACGATTGAGTTCATGTTCATAAAATATATTTTTACTGTCGCAACGATAGTTCATAGCTTTGCTATAAAGTGATAAGAGTAGCGCTGTGGTAAAATTATACACAAACACTATACGTAAACCTATCATAACAATATCATAATGGTCCTTTTGCACTATAAAATTCACAGTATAATCTAGGTTTTGTTACAAGAAAAGAAAATCACAAAATCTGGACCCTATTGGTGTATTGTAGGTTGAGTTATATATTAATTTATTATTGTCATCGTACTACATACCGTAAATATACCAACGTCTGCCATGTCAGCTTTTAAAATTTATAATAATAATTTACAATAACTTGTAAATCAAGTATAATATTTGTTAATCATAAACTTTTAGTATTTATATGCATTATTTTATCCGGCTATAGTTTTACTGGGTGGTGGGGCCACTTTTCTACCTAGAAGTACATATCACGCTCTTACCTATTTCTGCCAACAAATAGCGGTGCTTGACAAAGAATCTGTAGTCTTTTCCTTTTCAAGTTGACTGCAAGTGTCCATGGGCTGCAGTAGCCGCTTACTTCAGTATTATAAAAAAATTTAACTAGATCTACAATCTTTCTACGACTTCTTTTACTATCATTTTATTTCTTAAATAAAGGAAGTGAATTTTTTCTCACAGAAAACATTTTTAAACAATCTGTAATGTTGCAAATATGCTATAGGTTTACATGTGTATTATTGTCCCCTATTCTTTCTTTGTCCTCAGGGGAGAGTAGTCTCTTCCTTACAAACCACAAATTTAAAAATACGGCACACTAGCTGGCTGGGTATTCCCACGGGTGAAGATCGCGATTTTCGTAACGAACTCCGCTCATAAATCTACGCCTTACATGATGCTTGTTTGCATAATATAAAACTTATTTAGTATGTGTATGTCCCTTGAGCTTAATACTTACCTGTAGCTTTTGTTTTATTTGCCAAGTTACAACGTAATTTTTTAATATTTAAAAAAAATATTTACATATTTTTTCTTTTTATTTACTTTTAAAGACAGAAGTGAAAGAAGATGTATATGACGGCACCTGCACCGTTGTAGATGCGGTGGCGTCGGTCTAGCAAGACAGAATTCTTGTAAACGACACGTGTACCGCACACCTGCGGCATCGCACCTGCGTTACTGCCCGTCCTGCTTGTATAAAACTGACTGAGCGGCCGCCGTTAAGACAGTCTTGGCTCTGACGTGGAACGGTACACTTGTCGTATTCCGTTACTACTTTATCCTCAACTCATTGGATAATTAATTCGTGTAAACGAATTAATTATTATTCCAAACTACAAAATTAGTCTCTGTACTATACCCACTATACTTCCGACATCAGAAGTGGGATAAAGTCCCCATTTTTGCCCACGTACAATCTTTGAATAGTATGAGAATTATTACATTTGTAAAGGCTGTAATGCATTTCACATTGATGGATCTCTTTTTATGTTAAATACCGTAATAAAATTTGCTGTCCTACTTACGATATTGTCGTATCATTAAAGTGTAGAGAAAAGATAAAGTGAAATTATTTAAGCCAAAAGATAAATCCTTTTGTTCGATTTGTATTAAAAGTACCCTCAAGTATTTTCATTATTTCTGACGTACCTAAATATGTTAACAAATGAAAGAAATGTTGGAGATATTCTGAATGAGTTATAGTTTGCATTCAGTGGAAGTTTAACTTGCTCAAGTAATGTTATAATTTGATACACGAGGTGTGATTTACATGGCCTAGTTTTAAAGTTCAAAATGTTTAAACGATGTACCGAAAAAAAGAACATGATTACTTTAACGTGCTATGACTTAAAAACACTAAGTAGTATTTTTGTGATCTAATGTGATGATAAGTGTTACAGTTTACTCCGAGCATTACGTAGTCGACAAACTTGGAATGGTTTAGTGGAAAGCGTGGAGCTGTAGCGCTCGCTTTTGAGTATGCTGTCGGCTTATGACGCCGCGGACTTATTATTTGTCGCTGCTACTGATCACCATTAGATACATGAGGAAAGTAAATTTATCCTAAACATTGGCTCAGAAACTATTTTGTAAGAATGAGTGTTTACATTTTTAATTGGTTGCGAAAAATGCCGGAAAACCGAAGTATAACTGATGAAAGTGAAGTAGAGCCAATTGGTTCTGACATTGAAGAGATTATTTAAGTTTACATGAGGATCGGACCATACGAGAGGTTGTCGTGTAGCCGCAGCTCAGTATTTAGTGCCCTAGAAAGGCGAATGGTGTACCAAGAGTAGTGCTGCATTTCTTGAAATCAAGTTCCGACTGAGTATTTTTAATGTTTTCTTTTATGTGTTACAGTAGCACGTGTGATGTGATTACAAGTGCGTGAGTGTGTGCCTTGCTGGTCGTAACGGACTGCCAGGTCCAGCTGTATCATGGCCTGGTTTCAGCAGATGCGTATGCGCGTATACGCATGCGCCATCCCGGAGCGCGCGTATGCTGTACATGGCGATGGCTCGGAAGTCGTGTACTCTGTATGCGGGGGAATCACACTGTGTGCGCGGAAGTCGTATGCTGTGTGCACGATCATGGTGACTACAACCCCGACAATGCTTGTAAACCCTCAGGTGCTCCTGCTGCTCTCGTTTTGTTGTAATTTGATAGTTCACGCGAAACATGATTTTCATTTGCTATATTTTGAAGTTCAAAACTTTTAAGGGTTGTACTACAATAAAGGATTAACTTTAACACGCTATGAATTAAAAATAATAAGTGACATTTTTGTGTTCTAATGTGTTGACCAGTGTTGCAGTTTGCTCCGAATATTGTGTCGTTGACAAGATTGGGGTTTGATTTCGAGGGATTCGTAGAAGTCTCTACAACAATGATCAATGAGGAAGACGTTGTGATGGCTAATCGAACATGGTCAGGTACGGCCGAGCACTGGTTAGATTAAGCCTACACCGCTACAATCGGTTACTTATCGGCTGATCTTACGGCAGGGCAATTCAAGCGGCCGCCGAACACATGGTCCTTTGGTGCTGTAAATGAACGTCTGAGGCTTGGTCGGCATTCGTAGATTATGCGCAGTAGCCTCCTTCCCTTTGAAATATGTGATGGTATTTGTCTCTACACATAGTTTCCCTTTTTTGCAATGTTTTCAAATGGCATACAGTTGCCGTTTCTTAAGAGAATCTTGGAATTCCATGGTTCGCAATACATTTGTCTCCATTTCTCTTAATTTTTAATTTTGCAAAGCAGTGCGACGATTCGCTAGCGCCATTACGGCGCGACGGCTTGCTAGCGCGAATGTGGCACGAACGCAGCAGAACGGAAAGTTGGAGTGCGTTTGCCTGGAGGTGGCCATATCAGCGCGTCCATGACTTAAATGAAGTCTGGGATGGTCGACCGTTGTAATATTTAACAAGAGTTAATATCTGTTAGCAGGTGGTGATACCTGATAGACCGTATGCTGTTCACTGTCAACCGCACGAGGACGTGCGACAGTCAGAGGTAGCCGTGTCTGTGCATCTAAAAAATACTAGAGACGTTGCAACACTCTAGCGAAGTAATTATTCTAGTGCAGGAAAGGAACATGAAGTTGCAGGGAGGCTGGTCTGTGCTGCACTGGGATATGTGTCGTGTTGCTATTGGTTTACATACTTGGGTGTTATCGTGTCACTACTGTAATGTACTGTAGATCCCAGGGATCAATATTTAGAGAGAACAAGTAACACTATTGTAAGTAGTATATATTACAAGTAACACTATTATTATACACTGATATCGGCTCGTAGTAAGCGTCCACGTCTTCTCCCTGCGGCGGTCGGTCGGGCAGTGCCGCCCCGCCCCGCGATCCCGCGCGTGCGCTTCTCGAGACGACAGAGTTATACACCACTATAAATGTCTATACGCTACATCCCTCCCTTATTAATGTTTTGTTTTAATATAAATATATATACAAATATAAATAACCATATCGAGTTAAGGAACTGTGATCAGCTTAACTTAAAAATAAAATACATTCATAATTACCTATTCGTATAGTAGTTTAATGATTTTTTTTTTCTTTTTACATAAGTAAGTATATCAAGTACAATCAGCAAGTTCTTATTCAAATTATGTTCAATCACTGATCATCAATTATTTTGTCATTATCGTCCATAATTTTATTCACTCGAGTTGTGATTGATTTGCGTCACCATTATCGTTAGTTTGAGTACCACTAGCATTATTTTCATCATCTAGTACCTTCCATTGCCCTTCCACTCGTTTTAGATGTACGACGTTCCGTCTGATTTGCTGACCAGTTTCATCGTTCCGAAGAATTACGTCCCCTCCTTTGTTCGCTTCGACGGTATGTGTTTCGGGTTGATAGTTTAAGCTCAGCTTGTTTTGTTTAGTCATGTTCTTGACGTATACTTTATCTCCGACTTCCAATTCACAGTTAGTAGCCCCTCTCTTCCTATCCGCATATTCCTTCCCTTTTTCCTTTAGTTCTTTATCTCTATCCCTCATTTCAAGATCCTCTGAGAGATGCGTCATGTCTTGGAGCATAGGCAGTTTGTCTCGAAATTGCCGTCGAAAGAACAGTTCTGCAGGTGTTTTTCCTGTAACTGTGTGAGGTGTACTATTGTACATCACCATGTACTCCTGGAGAGCCTCCTTCCAGTTCTTTTTCTCTACTTGAGAGATCTTGAGGCGTTTTAGGATGTCCCTATTCTGGCGCTCCACTTCTCCGTTTTGTTGCGGCCAGTAGGGAATGGTATTGTAGAGTCGTATGTTCCTCTCTGCGCAGAAGCTCTTAAAGTCTTCGCTAGAAAATTGTCTACCATTATCTGATGTGAGGGACACTGGATTGCCAAGTCTGCTAAAAATTTCTTTAAGCATTTCAATTATTTCAGAGCTTGTTATGGTTCTGCATGTTTTTACTTCTTTATATCTGGTATAATAATCCACGACTACCAGGATATAGTCTCCACTAGGTAATGGGCCCATGAGGTCGATTGCTATGTCAACCCACGGTTCGGAAGGTAAATCTCTTCTTTTTAATGGGTTTGGGGCGCTGGGAGCAGAGACCAGGATGCATCCTTTACAGGCTTTGCATATGTTTTCAGCATCTTTGTCGCACTTAGGCCACCATACTTTGGTCCTCAATCTGCTCTTCATCGCGACTATCCCCGGGTGGCCTTCGTGCGCAGCTTCCAGAACTCTTCTGCGTAACTTGGTTGGGATTACAATTTTCGTCCCCCTGAGGAGAATATCGCCATGAAAGCATAATTCATCCTGAAAAAGTTTATAGGTTTTTACGGTTTCCTCCCAGTTTCCGTTGTAAAGACCCTCTCTAACCTTCTGTATCTCTGCATCTCCAAGAGAACTCTCAGTGATCTCTTGTAATGGAATGGCTACTGGTCGTGCCAATTCGGTAATCGCTTGAACATGGTCTTCAAGTAATGTCGTCGGGTTTGTTGCCACTTCACAGAGTCTCGATAGTGGATCGGCTATATTGGTCTTCCCCGGACTATATTTCACCTTGAAATTGTAGGATTGCAACCTTAATACCCACCTTTCAATGCGAGCGCATGGTTTAGCTTTCGGGCCAAATATCACCTCCAAGGGCTTATGATCCGTTACTAGATCGAACATCTTACCGTACAGGAACATGTTGAAATGTTCGACTGCCCAAACCAGGGCTAAGGCCTCCTTCTCTGTTTGGCAGTAACGGCGCTCACAGCTGCTGAGGGTTTTATTACCAAATGCAATTATTCTCGGCCCATTCTTGTTGATTTGCACCAACACTGCACCCAGACCCACTGGGCTTGCATCTGCAATCACCACCGTCTTATCATGAGGATTGTAGTAACCTAAATTTGGTACCTTCATAAGTGCCGCCTTGAGATCGTTAAATGCCTTCTTTTGGGCATCCCCCCAGTCATTTTGAATGACTGTGTTTCTTCCCGTTCTTTGCCGTAGCAGTTGCTTAAGGGGTTCTGTTATCGTTGCTAAGTGGGGGATCCATTTTCCCACGTAATTCACTAAACCCATAAAACTCTGCAGTTCAGCGATATTCGTCGGGGCTCTGAATCCCTTTATAGCCAAGATATACTTGTCTAGTGGTTTGACTCCCAGTTCTGATAGTTCATGCCCTAGGAAGTGGACTTTCTTCATTCTGTAAATGCATTTGTCTTCCCTCAACATCATGTTATTTTCCTCTAACACTGCCAAAACTTTTTTAAGCCTTAAGTCGTGTTCTAATAAGTCTTTCCCAAATATTAAGATGTCATCTATGAAGTTGATGACTCCTTCGCAACCTAAAAGGATTCGTTCCAGTGTTTTTTGGAAAATCTCTGGCGCACACGAGATACCAAACATCATTCTTTTGTATCGATACAATCCTTTGCTGGTAATGAAGGTCGTGATATGCCTTGAGTCTGTGTGAAGTTCGATATGATGGAATGCATCTCGTATGTCTAGCTTACTAAAGATTTTGGCTTCTCGAACTTTAGGTAACAGTTCTTCTATCGTTGGCAGTGGGTGGTTTTCACGTTGTATGGCCGTATTTGCTCGGCGCATATCCACACATAATCGGATGTCACCCCCGTTTTTTAGCACAGGGACTATAGGCGAAATCCAGTTAGAAGGACCTTTCACGACTTCTATAATGTCCCTTTCTAGTAATTCTTTCAGTTTATTCTCTACTTTTTCTTCAAGTGGGATGGGAATTCTCCGATACGGCTGAGCAACGGGCTTCACTGAATCGTCAATCGGAATGGTAACTAAAACGCCTTTAAATTTTGGAAACGCCTCAGTTCCGACCTGGTTGATATCCAAATTGATCCGAAGTACTCCCAATGAGGTTGCCGTCACACGTCCAAGTAGGTCACGCGTACCGTTTCTGATCACGTAGAATGTTGTGACGTCCTGTGATGTTCCGGCAAGTTTTATCGTGGCTTTAAATGATCCTAACAGCTTCAGCGGTGTTGCACTCCCGTAAGCTATGAACGTTTTGTCAGGATTCGAATCTTGATTGGTAACTTGAGCGTTATTTTTCTTCATTCTTTCCCAGGTTTGGTCTGTTATAAGGTTGTGCTTGCAGTCTGAATCTATCAACATCTCCACGTTGGTTCCACCTATGTTACATGTGACCTTTGCGTCGTTCTCTATATTGAAAATGTAGTCGACTTTTCTTTCATCCGTGATTATGTTTGCAGTTTCCTCGATATTGTTTGTTGTCCTGCTTTTCTTCTTTATTCCCTGACTGTTCGATGATTCTCCTCCTTCAAATTTCCTCTTCTGAGTTTGTCTTGTCCTGCATTGATCTCTGAAGTGTCCTAAGATGCCACATTTAAGGCAAGCCTTTCCTTTTGCTGGGCAGTTGTTGTCACGGGCCAAATGTCTGCAACTTCCACATCTACTACATTCCAATCTTCTTTTTTTTTGCTTCTCCTTCCATGTCTCAATACCTATTCTGTTAATTGCCTGACTTTCTACAGGTTTCGTACTAAAGTGTCCTAATTGACGATCTATGGCTTCCAATGCATTCGCTTCCGCAATTATTTCATCTAAAGTGATCTTATCTCCTGTTTTTAATATCTTCTTTCGGAGTTCTTCTGCTTTACCCTTTTCCGTTATTTGGTCTATGATATGTTCGTCTTCTTTTCCACCAAACTGACATTTCTTTGCCTGCAGTCGAAGTCTGATAAGAAATTTCTCGAAGTTTTCATCCTGTTCCTGTTTTATGAGACGAAACAGGTGTCGCTCATACACTTTACTCTGTTTAGGTGCAAAGTAGTTGTCTAATTTTTCGATCGCGATGTTAAAAAGTTCGCCTTCAGTTGCATTAGCTCCTGGGATGTTATAGAAAACTTCCTGTAACTCGGGACCACCAAAATGTAAAAGGCTAGCTCTTTTCTTTGCCTCGGAGTCTATGCCTGCTGCTTCGAGGTAAATGTTTAGACTTCTTTTCCATCTTTCCCAACGGACAGAGACTGAACCAACCTCCCCGTCACATTCGAACTTCTCTAAGGTGTACAGTGCCATTTGGGGCTACCTGTTGACAAGGTAGTAACAATGTTGGATATTATAGATTTTATAACACGCTATTGCAATCTAATGCTAGTACTAAAGCGTCTACTGTACTTGACTGTACCTATGCTATAGTTACCCGTATCTACACCCGTAGTACACATTCAGCGCTCATGACGACACTTACTCGCCATACTGTGCTGTACTGTGGCACTGGCACGTGAGTATTACCCAGCGCGCAGCCGCCAAGCAGCGAATAGGTGCTCCAAGTGTTAACATATAATTTGAACCCGTGTAAACTTCGCAATTTAATGCTATGTAGGTATGTACGCAATTTAATGCTATGTAGGTATGTACGCAATTTAATGCTATGTATGTATGTACGCAATTTAATGCTATATAAGTATGTACGCAATTTAATGCTATGTAGGTATGTACGCAATTTAATGCTATGTAGGTATGTACGCAATTTAATGCTATGTATGTATGTACGCAATTTAATGCTATATAAGTATGTACGCAATTTAATGCTATGTAGGTATGTACGCAATTTAATGCTATACCGGTAATCTCCGCAATTTAATGCTTTTATTATCCATCTCATACCGCAATTAAATGCTCAGTCGCAATTGAATGCCCGGCTGCAATTTAATGAGGAAGGTAGGTTGACAAATATGTAGGTATGTCACTCCCCTGATGTACACCCATAGAAACCTAGATACCTAAAACGCGAACGGAGGATACCTACGCAACTCACGGCCAAGTGAGTACCTAGTTATTTCACTTTTCCTTCTATGTTCCTTAGTCAAAATGTTATATACAGTCAACATCAGTTAGTAATAACGATGATAACCTTAAATACACTTTTATTTTATAGGAAAGTAACTAATTAATACTGTGGATCAATTCATAAACTTCAGAATATTGAAAGGTAAAAGAAAAATGTTTATTCTGTGCAACAAAACACACTGTAAAGATTAAAATTAGAATTGCTCTAATTACTTGTCGTATTCAACACAGACAGACACCTCAAGTACAATCTGTACTATTTATATTCTGTAGTCTGTGTTTTCAATGGCATGAAAACTTGTATTATCTATTATCAAAGCAACAATTAAGTTATTAACAATCTAAAACTACAAAACGCCGCATATAGGTAGTTTAAATAACCACTGTATTATTTTTCCAACCTCCTAATTATAATGACAATAAAGCCGTCCCATCTGCGTAGGAACAGGTCGTTGCTCAGCAAAATTGCTGTGACTTCGAACGAACCTATAGTAAACAGCAATACTTATAGTAACTATTACCTACCTACACTGATTAACGAAACTAGTGAGGTTCTGTGGTTAATTTTACCTAATAAAATCTTGTACAGCTATATGGGTTATAAATACTGAGACTCAAACTCAAGAAGGTAGGTAACTTATACGTTGCTCACATAATAATCACTTGATTAAAGCTTGGTAGTTTTATTCAACGATTGTAGTCGGATTTATGTATTTTGTAATGTAACGTATGTTTATCTCTCTTTTCTTTTATTATTAAAGGTAAAAATTCTTAAAATACTCACCGTTTATCTCGTCGCCACATGTAATGTACTGTAGATCCCAGGGATCAATATTTAGAGAGAACAAGTAACACTATTGTAAGTAGTATATATTACAAGTAACACTATTATTATACACTGATATCGGCTCGTAGTAAGCGTCCACGTCTTCTCCCTGCGGCGGTCGGTCGGGCAGTGCCGCTCCGCCCCGCGATCCCGCGCGTGCGCTTCTCGAGACGACAGAGTTATACACCACTATAAATGTCTATACGCTACAACTACGTCCCTCACGATACACTTTTGTGTGATTGTGACGGGGACATGTTTGCGGTATGATTGGTCTGTAACTGTTCTATACTGAATTGAAAAAAAAAGAGAGTAAGAAAAAAAATGTGGTTCTTACTATCATTGTAGGGCGTTTGCCGGTCCAATGATAAAGCTACAGGGAATAGTGATTCCGGACTAGCATAAATAGTACTGAAAAAAAAAGAGATTAAGAAAAAAGAATAGTTCTTACAATCATTGCAGGGCTTTGTGCCGGTCCAGTGATATAGCTATAGGGTGATTCCTGACTAGCGAAAACAGTACTTGAAAAAAAAAAAGAGAAAATAGAAAAAGCTACAGACTAATCATTCCGATCTAGCATAAAGTTGATAAAAGTTTTGTAGGGCTTAGTGCCGGAACAAAACTGATTATCACTAGAGTCTGAAGGGTCAGTATAGACCGGACCAGACGCTGTTTTGTCAGGATAATCGAACGATGTTTTACAGATTACAGTTGTTACAGATAACTAAAATTGTAATGGAGCGCGTGCGAGGACGCACGCATGTCAGTATGGCCGTGACGGCACCTGCACCGTTGTAGATGCGGTGGCGTCGGTCTAGCAAGACAGAATTCCTGTAAACGACACGTGTACCGCACACCTGCGGCATCGCACCTGCGTTACTGCCCGTCCTGCTTGTATAAAACTGACTGAGCGGCCGCCGTTAAGACAGTCTTGGCTCTGACGTGGAACGGCACACTTGTCGTATTCCGTTACTACTTTATCCTCAACTCATTGGATAATTAATTCGTGTAAACGAATTAATTATTATTCCTAACTACAAAATTAGTCTCTGTACTATACCCACTATACTTCCGACATATATTAATAAAGATTTAGACCACAAATAGTACATTGTTAGTATTTTTTTATGGAGTATGGATGACAAAAGAGCACACAGTTCATCTAATGGTAAGTGGATGTTGTGGCCAATAGACGTCCACATTAATCCTCGATTAAGAATCAAAATGCAGATGCGTTGCACCTCTGAGGACTAAGATGGAATGCCTCGTTTCCAGTAAAAAGGATCTCCGGTTCTCTACACTCGCCATACGAAACACAGTTGCCTTAACCATTAATTTTGGTTTACGTTAGTATTCTGTGAGGGCTTGGTACCCCGGTCGAGCGGACCCATTTGTGCTACAACCATAATATAGCTGCAGCTTGGTTCTGCCACATAATGTCATGTCATAATTAATATAATAATTTACACAAAAGTCAAACTAACTTTTTATTTATAAAGCTTTACTCTATATTTTATTTTAATCTTTACGTATGTTGATGTTGTTTTATATGCCAATCATTCCACTGGTTAATTTTATCATACGTCAATTATTTTTGAATGAACTACAAATCTTTTTTTAAACTTATTACCTACCGCCAGAAATGATTCAAAATAAGACCACTTTTTAAGACCGGGCGGCAATTATTAAAACATTTTTTGACCAGCCCAAGCCTTACGAGGGTAAAATTATTACCTATTATATAGATTATTACAGCACTGATTTAAAACAATTCAAACTATATACACAGATATTTACATGGTCATATATGTGCATACATACATGCTATATCCCAAAACAAGAATTTAATTTTAAAATCTTTAAAAAAAATATAAAAACACTAGATAATTTTTCACGATGTTACGATTGCTCTCACACAAAATACTCGGTTGTAAACGCAGAGCCGGAACTATACTGGAAACGCTCGGTTTCTTAATAACCAATCACAGCGAGAGGAGCTTGGCCCCCATCATCTGCCGGCATGCTAAGCTATCTTTCTCGTACTCGTACTTATGGCTGCGCAATAGACGTTTTTGTCGTATTCATTTGTAAGCACGTCTGAAAATTGTTTAAAACCGCTAAATTTGTGTGGCGATTTGCAGGTATTATACAAAGTAATCACTAAATACGTAATTAAAATTTGAGTTTGCCAAAAGTATATTTTTTGGGAATCTTAATAAAACATTTTTGGAGAGGTATGGTAATACTTTATAACCGATAAAAACGTCTGGGATTTTTTTTAATTATATTTATAATATAATTTAAAAAAATCCCACTAAAAGGACCTTCCCAAAATTCGTCGCCAGCTCTCAGACTATAAGGTGTTTGAATTAAAAAAAAACATAAATTTTTAATTAAATGATAAGAATCGCCCGGATTTATTGTGAAATCGTTTTGGACGTAACCTCAGTCATTAAATTTTAATAAAATATCACAAATTATTAACATCAGAAATTTAAAATATATTAAAATTCATCGCCATAAAATAAAATTAATTAACTCAATGATAAGATTTTTTTATTAATTTTATCCCATAGTTACTAAATTTCTTTACTCAAAATAGCAGACATATTATGTCGAATATTCAAAAATTCTTAAAGAATATGCGCCAAAAAAGACGATAGATTGATATCGTCTTCAGTTTCTTTCAGTTTTATATTATTCTATGTATTATGCCTTTTCCGCTCTTTAAAACTAAAGAACGGTAGTGAAGTTGTAATGAGAGCGCAACTTCTAAAAACGGGTGGAAAAACCGAGCAGAAAATACCACAATATATTTAGTAATCCACCATAAAACTATGGTCGTAGTTTGAGTTATTATATTATGTCTAGTTTATTTTGCTTGTGTAAAATAACTCAAACAACTATGGTCGTATAGTTTTATGGTGGATTACTAAACATATTCTGGTATTTAGTAGTTTGAGTTATTTTACACAAGCAAAATAAATTAGACATAATATATTATCTTTACCTCCTGAAGAAATGTAATACAAGTATATGTAGAATATGAATGCCTCAAGTATACATACCAATATAACGATAGTTTCACCGTTTGGTCGAAAGCAGCAAGGAGAATTTAGCAATTCCTTTTCGCCTACAACTTAAGAGGATTATGGCATAAAAAGGGTTTCGTTTGACACTAGTCTTGAAAATGACTGCTCACAAAGTCATAAGCACAATATTGTCAGCCCAACTTCTAAAAACGGGTGGAAAAACCGAGCAGAAAATACCACAATATGTTTAGTAATCCACCATAAAACTATGGTCGTAGTTTGAATTATTTTACACAAGCAAAATAAATTAGACATAATATATTATCTTTACCTCCTGAAGAAATGTAATACAAGTATATGTAGAATAT